ATAAGTTGTACATCAAAATGTACAAGAGATTGAGCGCTTTCAGACTACATCATAACCTTTGAAAATAATCAGCAAAAAATCAAAGAACCATGAGCCTGAAAAAAAAACGGCGGATAATTATTGCTCAACCTATAAAAAGGGATATAAGTGAATACAGAATTCTGATCACGGCAAGATTTGTGTTTTGATTGCCACGATCAGGACAGAAATGCTTGTGGTCCACCGCAGCGAAAGTTATTGAATTTTTTCGACTTCTCCCGTGTATTCACCACTCAAAATCCACGTGTCCGAGGAGAGCTGGATGCGCCTTCAAAATCGCACCGGTTCTACGCAGCCAAACGTGAACAGTCGGTGATATGAATGCTTGTACGCGTCAATATGCTCAAAAAATATGACAGCAATGAGGTGGGTTATTCAAGAAAAAGTTGGATATTTGATTTATTACGGCGTTTGCTCATCGAAAACAAATTATTAGATATAGGGATGGAGGTTGCGAAAAAAAGACTGCAGACGCTATAGAACGCTCGGGACCTCAATCTGGTTTTTTTTAATATGGAGAAGTTGTAATGGCCGTATTGCAGCACGCGTGGTCGAGATAGCGTTGCGAGGAGATTTCTCACTGATTCAATTGATTGCGGTTGGATTTACTGCTTCCTAGCCTTATACGGTCCTTCCATGATTCATTCAACCAGGTTTTACGATAAAAAGGATAAAAGGATAAAGCATTTGCCGTTGATCAATCCCTTTTTGGGATGCGGCACGCATTCTACTTCCATTTGTACATTCGTAGTGGCGTTTGAATGCGATGTGGCCTATACAATGACTTGCGGGGGCCAGCCGATGTACAAGTCAGTGTTTTTATCCTCCCAGACAAGTCTGGTACCAATTAACCGACCCCGGAGGGATGGAAGGCTTGGTTGGCCCGGGCGACTCACGACCCAGGATTTGATCCCCGGACCGCTCGCGTGGTAAGCGTGCCACTTGCCACTACACCACTTCCGCCCT